CTATGGAGGACATGGGGAGGCCCGGATGTGGCTGGCACGTCCGATCAGGCCAACGCTAGATCACCCGGGCCCCCACAAATACCCCACTTCGACAAACCCTATTCAAAGTCTACTCTTCTAGACCTCTCTGTTCCACTGCTCGTCCCCTCCTCTTCCCTCCACCTTGTTCAGATCTGGCAGCCATTCGGCAGCGCATCTGCGGCGGATATGAGGGCACCTGAATCAGAGGCAGGGTGCAACGGAGGTCGGTTCCTCCCACACCTACGCGATCCTGGTAACCAGGCTGGCCCAATCTGGAGTGTATTCGATTGAGTCCTAGTCTCGTTGAGTGGAAAGTGGCATTGCCTCTCTGCTCCTTGCGAGCAGTTACCAGGATCAGCTCAGACCATTCTGGCATCCTTCCCTCTTTGGGGAAGGATCCACCCCCTCGGTTGAACCGCTTCCAATTTGAGAACTTGTGGCTTCTCCAGTCAAGGTTCATGGAAAGCGGATCAACTCAACTAAGCTAATGTATCCCGCCATTTCATATGGGGTTGGGGTGCAAATGTAGGGGCTGAACGGCGTCAGGGTAAGGGTGCTATCCTAGGCCAGATTCAGTCGCTTGATGTGGTGTCTAATTTGGTCAGCCTAACCACTGAGGAGTGGCTTCAGCAATACACCCTTGAGGCTTCCCTCATGGAGATCTAAAAGGTGAGATGGTTTTCTAGCGGTAGAGGAGTCGAGAGAATTGGGTTCTGCATGGAGAACCGCCTACTTCCATGCCATAGTGAATGGGCGGCATTGGAAGTTCTACATCAAGTGCTTATGGGTGGATGACGTCCTCTTGGATGATGCCAGAGATATCTCCACCCACATTTACTCTTCTATAGATCTCTTCACCGCGGGACCCCGTGTTGGGGTTGTGTTAGGTGTAGACTGTTAGCCAGCTAGGTCCATGGTCTTGGCTGACGAGAATGCGGAACTCACCTTTCCATTCATGTCGGAAGAAGTTATCCAGACGAATATGGAGATGAAGGCTACTTTAGTGCTTGGACCAGATAGCCTTCTGGTAACCTTCTCCCAGAAAACATGGGAGCATCTTCAGGTGGCGATTATGCAAATGTTCAAGGAATTCCATGTTGGGATGTTGGCATGTCTCACCTGAATTTCCATGTTATTACCCTGATCCCCAAATTAGTGCAAGCCATGGATATTTGTCCCTTGGCCGATCATGATGATCAACGTCCTCCAGCAGATCTTTGCTAAGGTTTGCGTGACACGGTCCACCATATTGGTGGGACGCCTCACGCATCCTTACCAGTTGAATTTCCTTGAAGGGTGGTATATTCATCATTGGATCTTGGAACTTCATGGGATTGTTCATGAGGTAAGGGTTTATTAGAGCCGGAGAAGGCATGTGGCCACTTGGACTGGTCCTTCCTCCACCGGGTTCTTGAGCGGAGGGGGTTCGAGGATCGTTGGGTTAATCAAATCATGCAGATCGTCATGAGTGGTAGCACGGCCATCATTATTAATGGGGAAGTGGGCCCATGTTTTAGATTTTTGCATGGGGTGAGGCAGGGGAACCAATCTCCTTCTCTTTAACCTTGTGGTTGACCCCTTGGTGGCTATCTTGGTGTGGCTAGCCATATTATCCCTAGAGGTTGTGTGACCCACCTCCAGTATGCGGACAACATCATGATCGTGGTGGAGGGGTCTATATTAGATATTATCAATCTTAAGTCCCTTCTCCTCTGCTTTGAGGTTGTGTCGGGCCTCAAGATCAACTTCGATAAGAGTGAGGTTGTTGTTTTGGGTTATCCGCCCAAGGAGGAGCAGCAGATTGTGGACAATCGTAATTGCGGGTTGTCCTCTTTCCCAATCACATGTCTGGGGATACCATCTTTGCCACTACGACCCTGGTCCAAGACTTTGACCCGCTAGTAGGGTGGGTCAAGGCGAAGGCAGAGCTATGGTGTGGGAGGTTCATCTTTAAAGGGAGTAAATATGTGTTCATTGACTCCTGCCTCTCTAGCCTCCCCATGTATTGACTCCTTCAAGGAGTTGTCGCGCTTCTTCTAGCAGGCGGCCAATGGGTGCACGAAATACCATATAGTGAAGAGGGCAGATGTTTGTTTCCCTAAGGACCAGACGGTCTGCATATTCCGCCATCTGGCATATGAATGTGACCCTCATGAAACGGTGAGTGGAGGATTCTTAGGGATGAGGGGGGGCTATAGCTACAACTTATAAAAGCTAAACATCGGCATTACCGCCCTCTTTTGACTTGCGATCAATGGGAGGGGTTGTGGTTCTAGAAATCTCCCAGATCGATCAAGCATGAGATTTGCCTGGGTACTAGGACCTCCATAGGCAATGGAGAACGTACCCTTTTATGGCTCGACCCGTGGCTCGGTAGGAATCCGCTGCATGTCGAATTCCCGACTACTCTTGTGAGATGCTCAGATCTGATGCTTTTGGTTGCCTTGACGACCCACAATGGGAATTGGAATAACCCGTTTTGACGAACATTTGGCCTCGAGGAAGCCTTAGCATGGACTGAGTTACGGGTGGCCCTCCCTCCATCCCTATCGGTGTCGCCAAAAGTTCTATCCTGGCATCTGGCCCCCTTGGGGGCCTTCTCTGTCGAATCGGCATACCGCAGCCGTGGTGTACACCGACTATTAAGTATGCCTTTCCTCGGGTACAAAGGTGGCGAAGCGGCATGGGTCGGATGATGGCAAAGCAAGGATTCCATCTATGATGGCGACTGGCAAGGGTGAGGGCAAGCATCAACTTCATGGAGGGCACGGCGCACCGAATTTCATCATTGATTTCTCGCATATCAGCTTTGCTCGTTCTTACAAGGACCGAACCGATGTTTTGGTGGACCAAAATCACAGTTGTTGCCTTTGAAAGAAACCAACAAGTCAACAGACCAAGGCCTCATTTGGTTTGGAGGAATTTTGTAGGAATTTCATAGGGTAGGATTTTTATAGAAAAAATTCCTATAGAGCTCTTTGGTTTGTAGGAATGGAATCTTATTCCTATGGAGGAAATCTTTCTATCCTCCATATTTCATAGGAAAATAAACATTAGCCTAGACTCAATGAAAAAAATTCTATGATGTGAAACAAAGAACAACTCTTCATATTTTTACTCATAGGAATTGAGATGCATGTCATCTCATTTTTTATGACTTTTCTATTTCTATAATTTTCCTGCCCTATGAACCAAAGAAGGCCCAAACTTCTCAATTACCCAAAGCACTGAACCGATCAGTGGAACCGGATGCCCAGCGTGACCGCTTTATCGCCACCTATACTCGAGCGGATGAAGGAGATGGGGGGTTTCAGAGGTAACTGGTGGAGAGGCACAAAAGGCTCAGCGACCGTGTCTGAGATAAGCCAGTAGCACTCGATCAGCTCCTAACCGTAAATACAGCACCACCACGTGACGAATGACCACAGAGAAGAGTTTTCGAGTGCTCTTGTTCCACACGCCACGCATGGATGCAGGGCAAATGCGTACGTCTACGCTCTAGGGATGGTAGTTGGGCTGGCCGTCCTCTTCCGGTCTTCATCTCTTCTTCCTCCCCGTCACCCAACCTCGCCTTACCGCCATCTTCTCCTTCCTGCCGCCTCCACCTCCACAACACACCATGAGCACAAGGGGTGCGTTTTTGCTCAACAATCCCCACCCTATGCGCGGAATAGGACCAAGACAAGCAGGATATGCAGACCAGATGCAAACTGATCCATCCACTTAATTCAATCGTCTACCGTGACCACGTACCACAGACATCCACTTGCTATGTGCAACCAAAAATGATTGCAAAAATAGGTTCAGATGACATGCGAGAGTTAAACTTGGATAAATTCATCTATAAGTTGTGGAAACAAAATAGGAAGGAATCATAGTACTACATGAGAAGTCCAAAGGGGACAATTTGTGATTTCTTTCTTTAGCAACAAATCAAACCACCGATACAAATGAGATTCGCTCAACAAATCCCACGACGTGCTCATAACGCTACGGTGTAAATTTCATCCACTGCTACAAGCAAGTCATGGATCCGAGTACCCATTTCTGCCTGTGCTCAAAAGGCACAACAAAGGCAATAATAAATTCTGAAAATAAAAAGAACCGGCAAAATTGCAGCCTATTAGTAGCACTCGGAGGTGATCAGTGCTTGGCGGAGACAAGAGCCATGTGGGCGATGAGATCAAGAACCCGGTTGCTGAAGCAAAAGAAAATGAGAACCCATTGGTTAACCAAAGATCTGAAAATGTGGGAAAAGAACTTTTATGCGGAGAGAAACAGACACTCACCTGTAGCCCCACTCGTTGTCGTACCACGACACGAGCTTCATGAAGGAAGAGCTCAGCCCCATGCCAGCATTAGCATCAAATACACTTGACCTGAGACGCGGGGAAAGGAGTGATTTTTTGGTACTATGGGTGCAGAGCATATTGTGTTACCATGCGAGCAGATGTGATTCTTACCTTGTGTCACCAACAAAATCGTTGGATACCACATCCTCATCTGTGTAGCCTAAAATGCCTTTCAGTGCACCCTCTGATGCCGCCCTGAAACACGGTGCATTCGAGTAAGGTTGATAATAGTGAAAGCAGTGTTACACATGATGACATCGACACATACAGTTGTTAGGTTCTACTCCCTCCGTCCGAAAAAACTTGTCCCAAGCTTGTCCATCAAATGGATGTATCTAGCACTAACTTGGTGCTAGATACATCCATTTGAGGGACAAGCTTTTTCAGACGGAGGGAGTATACATTAGCAGGAGAAGCTCGTTCAAGTTACTAAGTCCCTCCGATCCAAAATAAGTGTCGCAGTTTTAAACTAAGGTTGAACTAACCTTAGTTCAAAACTGCAAGACTTATTATGGATCGGAGGGAGTAACAGATAATTCTTGTCAAGCTAAGAGTTGAGTATAATTTTTGTAAGTGCAAAAGAATTTAACTGTATTTTGACATATTTGCTCATCAGCTCCTACTTCCTAAGTTCAAATATTTTCAGTTCGGATATGCATCTTAGATTTTGCTCAGAAGTGTCATGAGCATTTGTTAATCTTCAAAATACTGGTAACTATTACATAAGCTAACAAGTTGCTTAACAAGACAAGCCAAACTGAAACTATGAAATGTAAAGAGCTGAACAGGTAATAAGGAAATGAGCATGAAAAATGTGATGGTTCTGCATACTTGATGGCTGCTTTCACATCATCATAAGAGGCACTTTTCTCAAGCCGGCAGGTCAAGTCAACCACAGAGACATTTGGTGTTGGAACTCGGAAAGCCATGCCAGTAAGCTTTCCATTTAGCTCAGGGAGAACTTTCCCAACAGCCTACAGGACAATAGAATCAGTCAATCAACAACGAAAATCGTAAATAGACACATGATATGCTTTCATCTCAAGTTACCTTTGCTGCACCAGTGGAGCTAGGAATTATGTTTTGACCAGCACCACGCCCTCCTCTCCAATCTTTCATTGAAGGACCATCAACAGTCTTTTGGGTGGCTGGACACAGAAGAACAAGCTTGCTATGACACCTGGTTTGAAAGTAACAAATACTCCACAAAGACTGCAAAATCACTAGTCTCCATTTGTGAGAACTGATAAGTTACAGAACATGAGACAAAAACCTGTTGTGGCGTGAACAGTTGTCATTAGACCTTCAAGAATGCCAAATTCTTCATGAACAACCTGCACATGATGATTCATGGGCATCATGAGGACGGTAGAATAGATTAATCATCAAGAGCAGTTTTTTTCGAGAATACAGAGCAGTTTATTGTGATCGTATTGTGCAATTAACTTGGCAGTTAGTAAATACTAGTCAAGGAAACTGAAAACCAGCAGGATAAGGAATGGGGAAAAAGTTACCTTGGCAAGAGGAGCAAGACAGTTAGTGGTACAACTTGCATTAGAAACAACATTCATCTTGGGATCGTAGCTCATCTCATTTACTCCAACCACAAACATGGGAGCATCTGCGGATGGAGCAGATATCACCACTTTCTTAGCACCACCCTATATAAACAAGGTAGCAAAAGGCTCAACACAGTGTTCATTGCAAAAGGCATATTGTTCGCTAATTAGACGACATTACGAAAGAAATGGTATACAGACCTTCAAGTGTACCGATGCTTTATCGATGGTTGTAAAAACACCAGAAGATTCAACAACATAGTCAGCTCCAAAGTTACCCCAAGGAATCTCTGCGGGATCTCTGAAAATTGAGAAATAAAGATTAAAATCCTTCAATACGCATGTAGCGAAAAATGTCAAAATAAAGGATCTGAAGAAGAAAAAACTGACAAAAGCCACAACCCAGAAGTATAAGTTCAGTCACAACTGACATGAATATCAGAACCAGAGTATGAAAAGAAATACGCAGTACACCAGATGCACAGCAAGCTTCCGCTGGTATAGATATTATATGTCCGTATGAATGTGCAAAAACATGCGTTTTTAAGAATCAGTTATTAAGTACTCCCTCAGTCCTTGCAAAAACGTCTTATATTGTGGGACGGAAGCTTGCAAAAACATCTTACATTGTGGGACGGAAGGTAGTAATAATGTTACTTTGGCCACTTCATTGCTCCACTTGTACTTATTTCAGGACAAAATGTCGTGTATATTCAGTGACCATGGCATTTACATGAACTGCACAAACATGGCAGACAATCGGCTAACCCTGGCATAATTACCTTTTGCTTGTTATAGTGATTTTCTTCCCATTGATCTCCAGGGTTGAATCATCCACAACATTGATGGATCCTTTAAAGGGGCCATGAGTGGAGTCATACTTGAACATATAGGCCTGGAAAAAAGGGAACATTAACTTCGAACCAAAGAAAAGCACATCAAAATGCTACACCACATGCAAATACAGACTTGTTAATTTTACAGTGAAGAAAAAAATATAATGGCAGAATTAAATTTGCCAAATTCCAATGCAGTAGATCATCCCACTGGATGATTCTTGTCATGGCACCTAACAGAAAAAAATAGGAATCCCAATTGCATAAAATTGGATGCTTAACCAATGCTTATGTGCTTGAAATACAGAAATACAGTGCATTATAAACAAGATTTTGTGAATTGACTGAAGAAGTTGTCACATACAACATGAAGGTGAAACACAGGCAAAACATATTGTGAATGAATTAACAGGAAAGATACTTGGCACCGGACTAAATGGTACTATGAGAACTATCATTTCTCCTGGCTACCTCGCGGCACAGAGCTACATGGTACTTTGCACCTGTTATCAGCAAAAGTCCTCAAGGAAATCCGCACCAGGGGTGTGGGACAGAATAGTTCTCCTATAGCTGCTTGTTAGCTTCACATGCTCATTCCAACATTGACATGTACTTTGCACACGGGAATCGTTCATGTGGCAAAATACATCAACATCATTCATGGTATCAGAGCATTCTCTAGCTCATGTTACCTTAATGAAAGCAATGTCGACTGCCCTCTACCTTCTGCACTGGAACTCCTCTTTACCAATGCCCACCGGTCTCTCCCATTTCCAGAGTCACCTGCCTGTGCGGGGATGGGAGAGAGCAGTAGGTGGCGGTGAAAAGGAGGGGGATCGCAGAAGGTAGGAGACAGTGGTTTGGAAGTGTGAGCCAGATAAGCACTCATACCACGAGTGATGAATGACTGTGAGTATGCCACACAAACACCTGTCATACTCATTGATATGTAGATAGTACATTATATTTGAATGGGAATAATTTGTGTGCGAGTTATCTTGGAGACAAAATTACTACCTCGTTACATTTATATTAACTAAAAAAAGAATACTCATTAAATTCATGAGGTCTCTATCACACAGACAAAAGGTATGCCAGTACTATGCAACATGGTTTGAATCAATTTCGTACAAAGTAGTAAAGAACTAACTACTGCAAAACCATGAGTTCGACCCTTTAACTTTATAAATTTCAGGTGTAGAAGATCTCATAGCACAAAATATGCAAAGCATATAGCATTATTTCCTTACCATGTACTTAGCATCAATGAAAGGATCATTGACAGCCACAACTTCAATATCATCTCTACTGGTTGCAATTCTCAGAACCAACCTCCCAATCCGTCCGAACCCTGCAGTAATAAAAACAACAGGCTAACATTAAAAAATGCATATGAATTATTACTTCATCTACTTTTGACTCGTACAATACCAATGTATATAAGCTATCTATGTGTGCCTGGTGTGATCATCTGAGGAATAAAAATATGTTCCGAAGACATTACAAGATGATACTTAAACTACTTTATTTTGTCAACACAGTATATTATGAAACAAAAGAACATGGCTTAAGCATCCTGGACAAAAGATGCAACCAGCAAGGATTAATCTGTCTCATCTAGATTGCAACAGTATTTTGCATCAGTTATGTATACAAGAGGCTCACCATTGATGCCAACCTTCGTCTTCTCTCCACTCAAATATTCTGCAGAGAAAAACAAAAAGGGTAAAGATTATAAAATAATCAAATGCCACTAGAAGCTGCAACGTTTGCTGAGCCCAACAACTTACGTGGGACGGCCGGGGGTGCCTGTGTAGCTATAGCTCTAAGTGGCTCAATGTTCCTGGCACTTTATAGTATACACGAATTAGATGCAGTACATCCTAATTTGGTATACAGTTCACAAGGCAATGCGAATTATGCATCGGAAAGAGGCACTTACGATGAAGAGGAAGCCGCAATGGAGGGGAAGCTGCAGTCAAAATGAGCGGAGCGGGTGCTCCTCACGCATGACACCTATGCCACAGCAGACAAGTCCCGTCAATATGAGTACAAAAAAGTTCAGGACTAACATAAAATCCATCAAAGGAGAAGGAGAGAGGCTTCTGGCGATGTAATAACACAACAACAGATTCCAAACAAAGGTGGAAATCAACGGAGCTACAGCAACGCTTACTGACATACAGACAAATCCACACCTTAATTCAGAGTTAAGAAATAGGGTTGCCTCGGCTAAATTCCACGGAACAGGTGCTAAACAGCAGGGAACCTAAGTCCTACGCGCCGCTTGAACCCAATTCAGCCCGTAGGACGTATTGCGGCGCCAAACCGCTCAAATGGCTGAATTCACCACCGAAGAGATGACACTTTCGAGCGAATTACGACGGGAACCAAATCTAGACGCGGAAATGGACTCGCATCAACCCACCGGCGCCGCGTGTGCCAGCCCTTTGACGGAACCTCTAGGGCTTTACGCGTACAGACAGTGTGCGTGTGTGAAGGGGCAAGCAACGGATACCTTGGAGGGGTCGGCGGCGGCGCGGGATCCGGCGCCGGACGAGGACAGGGCCGCCGCGGTGCGGAGAGGCACGGAGAGCGCCGCCATGGGAGAAGGGATTGACGGGTGGGTGGGTGGGTGCGCGCGTTAGGGTTTGACCGGCGAGGGAGGGGGGAGGGGCCGCAGGAGGGAGTCACGAGGAGGAGGAGCCAAGGAGGGGGGCAGAGGTTTGGCCTTTCGTTCGCGGAGGCGGGCGGGCGGGGGAAGCTGGCGGCCCGAGGCTTGTTTTATAACAAGAGGGAGGAGAAAAACAGCGGCTGCACACGATGACACGAGCGAGCGAGCTTCGCCTCGCCTACCCCCTCCACCGAATCTCTTGGTTGGCTGGCCGTGTTCATCGTCGTGTTTTTAAAAAGAGGAGGAGGATCTTACCAACTTTGGCTTGGTTTTTCCCACAGGAAGACCAACTGTTGTTCGTCTTTTTGCAAGGCGATTGTCATTTGTCCGACATTATTTAATTCTTTATGGACCGCCCGACATTTTAAAAGAAAGAAAAATGCACGTCCGCCTAGAGGTTTGGAGGGCGGCACGCGCTAACAGTATGGTCAAAGCAGACCTGTTGGGAAACGTAGCATACAATTTTAAAAAAAAATCCTACGCTCACGCAAGATTTAACTTGAAGATGCATAGCAACAAGAGGGGAGAGTGTGTCTACATACCCTCGTAGACCGAAAGCGGAAGCGTTTGACAATGCGGTTGATGTAGTCAAACTTCTTCTCGTTTCGACCGATCAATCACCGAACGTACGGTACCTCCGAGTTCTGCACACGTTCAGCTCGACGACGTCTCTCGGACTCTTGATCCAGCAAAGTGTCGAGGGAGAGTTCCGTCAGCACAACGGCGTGGTGATGGTGATGGGTGAAGTGATCCGCGCAGGGCTTCACCTAAGCACTATGTGAATATGACCGGAGGCGTAAACTATGGAGGGGGCGCCGCACACGGCTAACAACTGCTGATGTGTGTTCTAGCGGTGCCCACCCCCCATATATATAGGTTGGAGGGGAGGAGAGGCAGCCAAGGGGACGCCCCAAGTAGGACGAATCCTACTTGGGCGCCTCACAAATTGGCCTCCCCCTTCCATATTCATCCGGAGGGGGAAGGAAGGAGAGAAGGAAGGGGGGGCCGAATTGCTCCCCTTCCTTTCTCTCTTCTTTCTTCCCCCTTATTTTGGCCTACATGGGGCGCACCAGTCCCCTAGGGGCCGGTCTGTCCCTTTCTTGGCCCATTAGGCCAATGTAGTTGTCGGGGGATGTCCGGAACCCATTCTGGTGACCCGATATGTACCTGGTACCTCCGGAACATTTCCGGTGTCCGAATATCATCGTTCAATATATTAATCTTTACCTCTCGACCATTTCGAGACTCCTCGTCATGTTCGTGATCTCATCCGGGACTCCGAACAATATTCGGTCATCAAATCACATAACTCATATAATACAAAAATCGTCATCGAACGTTAAGCGTGCGGACCCTACGGGTTCAAGAACTATGTAGACATGACCGAGACACCTCTTCTGTCAATAACCAACAGCGAAACATGGATGCTCATATTGGTTCCCGCACATTATACGAAGATCTTTATCGGCCGTACCGTAATGACAACATACGTTATTCCCTTTGTCATCGATATGTTACTTGCCAGAGATTCGATTGTTGGTATCTTCATACCTAGTCCAATCTCGTTACCGGCAAGTCTCTTTACTCGTTCCGTAATACATCATCCCGCAACTAACTCATTAGTCACAATGCTTGCAAGGCTTATTATGATGTGCATTACCGAGAGGACCCAGAGATACCTCTCCGATACTCGGAGTGATAAATCATAATCTCGATCTATGCCAACCCAACAAATACCTTCGGAGATACCTATAGAGCATCTTTATAATCACCCAGTTACGTTGTGATATTTGATAGCACACAAGGTATTCCTCCGGTATCCGGGAGTTGCATAATCTCATAGTCAAATGAATATGTATATGATATGAAGAAAGTAATAGCAATAAAACTTAACGATCATTATGCTAAGCTAACGGATGGGTCTTATCCATCACATTATTCTCCTAATGATGTGATCCCGTTCATCAAATGACAACACATGTCCATGGTTAGGAAACTTAACCATCTTTGATTAACGAGCTAGTCTAGTAGAGGCTTACCAGAGAACGGTGTTTTGTCTATGTATCCACACATGTATCAAGTTTCCGGTTAATACAATTCTAGCATGAATAATAAACATTTATCATGATATAAGGAAATTTAAATAACAACTTTATTATTACCTCTAGGGCATATTTCCTTCAGTCTCCCACTTGCATTAGAGTTAATAATCTAGTTCACATCGCCATGTGATTTAACACCAATAGTTCACACTTGTTACTATCTACAAAGCTTGACTTGTCGCAAAAGGTTTTCGACAAGTTCAAGGTGTTGACTGCGATGAGATTTTCTCACTCGTAGCGATGCTTAAGTCTGTCCGAACCATGTTAAGCAATTGCCACATTTTATGAAATCTGGAAAATGGATGTCAAAACTGCATTCCTTAATGGATTTCTTAATGAAGAGTTGTATATGATACAACCAGAAGGTTTTGTCAATCCTAAAGGTGCTGACAAAGTGTGCAAGCTCCAGCGATCTATCTATGGGCTGGTGCAAGCATCTCGGAGTTGGAATATACGCTTTGATGAGGTGATCAAAGCATATGGTTTTATATAGACTTATGGTGAAGCCTGTATTTACAAGAAAGTGAGTGGGAGCTCTGTAGCATTTCTGATATTGTATGTGGATGACATATTATTAATTGGAAATGATATAGAATTTCTAGATAGCAAAGAGGATATTTGAACAAGAAATTTTTCAATGAAAGACCTCAGTGAAGCTACTTATATATTGCGCATCAAGATCTATAGGGATAGATCAAGACGCTTAATAGGACTTTCACAAATCACATACCTTGACAAAATTTTGAAGAAGTTCAAAGTGGATCAGTCAAAGAAGGAGTTCTTGCCTGTATTGTAAGGTGTGAAGTTGAGTAAGACTCAAAGCCCGACCACGGCATAAGATAGAGAGAGAATGAAAGTCATTCTGTATGCCTCAGCCACAGGTTCTATAAAGTATGCCATGCTGTGTACCAGACCTATTGTGTACCTTGCCATGAGTTTGGCAAGGGGGGTACAATAGTGATCCGGGAGTAGATCACTGACAGCGGTAAAAAATTTCCTTAGAGGACTAAGGAAATATTTCTCGGTTATGGAGGTGATAAAGAGTTCGTCGTAATGAGTTACGTCGATGCGAGCTTTGACACCGATTTGGATACATATAGAAAGTGGGATCAATAAGCTAGAGTATCTCAGTGCAGAGCATTGTAAACATAGAAATTTGCAAAATACATACGGATCTAAATGTGGCAGACCCGTTGACTAAAAGTTCTCTCACAAGCAAAACATGATCACACCTTAGTACTCTTTGGGTGTTAATCACATAGCGATGTGAATTAGATTATTGACTCTAGTAAACCCTTTGAGTGTTGGTCACATGGCGATGTGATCTACATGTGTTAATCACATAAAGATGTGAACTATTGGTGTTAAATCACATGACAATGTGAACTAGATTATTGACTCTAGTGCAAGTGGGAGACTGAAGGAAATATGCCCTAGAGGCAATAATAAAGTTGTTATTTATATTTCCTTATATCATGATAAATGTTTTATTATTCATGCTAGAATTGTATTAACCGAAAACTTTGTACATGTATGGATACATAGACAAAACACAATGTCCCTAGTAAGCCTCTACTTGACTAGCTCATTAATCAAAGATGGTTAAGTTTCCTAACCATAGACATGTGTTGTCATTTGATGAACGTGATCACATCATTAGGAGAATGATGTGATGGACAAGACCCATCTGTTAGCTTAGCATAATGATCGTTAAGTTTTATTGCTATTGCTTTCTTCATGACTTATACATATTCCTTTGACTATGAGATTATGTAACTCCCGAATACCGGAGGAATACCTTGTGTGGTATCAAACATCACAACATAACTGAGTGATTATAAAGATGCTCTACAGGTATCTTCAAAGGTGTTTGTTGGGTTTGCATAGATCGAGATTAGGATTTATCACTCCGAGTATCAGAGAGGTATCTCTGGGCCCTCTCGGTAATGCACATCATAATAAGCCTTGCAAGCAATGTGACTAATGAGTTAGTTGCGGGATGATGCATTACGGAATGAGTAAAGAGACTTGTCGGTAACGATATTGAACTAGGTATGAAGATACCAATGATCGAATCTCGGGCAAGTAACATATTGATGACAAAGGGAATAACGTATGTCGTCATTACGATACGACCGATAAAGATCTTCGTAGAATATGTGGGAACCAATATGAGCATCCAGGCTCCGTTGTTGGTTATTGACCGGAGAGGTGTCTCGATCATGTCTACATAGTTCTCAAACCCGTAGGGTCCGCACGCTTAAACGTTCGATGACGATTTTCTATTATATGAGTTATGTGATTTGGTGACCGAATGTTGTTCGGAGTCCCGGATGAGATCACGGACATGACGAGGAGTCTCGAAATGGTCAGGGGGTAAAGATTAATATATAGGACGATAGTATTCGGACACCAAAAGTGTTCTAGGGGTATCGAGTACGTATCGAGTCACCGGAAGGGGTTTCGGGCAAACCCTCGGCAAGCTATATGGGCCTAATGGGCCAAGAGTTGGACAGACCAGCCCCAAAAGGGGCTGGTGCGCCCCCTATAGGCTGAATAGGAGGAGAAGGAAAAGGAAGGGAAGGGAGACGGAAAGGGGAGGATTCGGCCTCTCCCTTCCCCCTCTCTTTCCTTCCCCTTCCGATGGATATGGAAGGGGGGAGGCCGACTTGGAGGAGGCGCCGAGGAGGCGCCCAAGTAGGATTACTCCTACTTGGGGTGCCCCTTGCAGCCCCTCTCCCTCTCCCACCTATATATATGTGGGGGCACCGCTAGAACACACAATATTGATTCCTAGCTGTGTGCGGCGCCTCCCTCCACCGTTTACTC